AAAGGAGAAAAACAACATCCTTGTATGTTGAGGCGGGACCGGATGAAGGTTAGTCAAAAAAAGTCGTCTAACTTGCTTTAGTTTTCTAAGGTCTCTTCATAGGCGGATATTGTATACCGTAAACAACAAGCTTTGTGCATTGGCAGCCAAGGAGTGAAAAATCGTTCAACATTCAGGAAAGAGAACTTTGAAAAATGCACTTCGGATATCGTATGAAGGAACTGGGTGAGTAGAAGCATTCTTGCAGGCGGATGTGAAATGCCTTTGATCTCGGATACAATTGCGAAAAGATCCGCACACGTTTGGATTAANAACAACGTCACTGTGTGCTGAACGCCAAAGGATGTACTCAAGTAGATATGTCATCCTCAGAACTGATTCTTTCTTTTGTGTGGTTATAAATACCTCCACTCAGGCCTTTTATATATCTCTGTATGATACAGCAACCTAAGTTCCAGAAGATGGTGACTATTTAGAATTTATTTGGGTCATTTGTTTCATATTTTAGCAACCTGGAAAGCTTGATTTAGGTACCCTGTCTATGATTGTAGGTGTATTCTTCCTTCTTGCCCAACCGTTTCAGTGACGGTGATGGTTATCTATTTGTATAGATAGGCACCAATTGTGAAAGCAAATATTAGGATGAACGGTAACTTGTTCACATGAAACAGGGGAGTTCTAGTATGAATAAATGAAAGAAATCTGTTGCGGCAATCTAAAATCTTGACTTTTTTGGGCTCTCCGATGAACAGTTCCACTGATGCATATGGTCCTTTTAGCATCGTGTTCTAGTTTGTCTTACTGTTTACGCTCGAATCAATTGGAATACTCAATGATCAGAGCTATATAGCAGTAGTTACTGATAAAAAACAGCTAGTTTGGCATCAAGTCTGGTGAGAAAGTGCACCAAACTTTGAATACAAAATTTGTTGACAAAGACCATATCATTTTTATTAAAGTGGTTAACAAACATACGTAATAAATCACTTATTCGCAACGATCAATCAACGTGTTTAGTTCAGATGCCGTTAGATTAGGTGATAAGCAAATAATTCTGAGAAATGTGAAACGAAATCTACTCGGACAATGAGGCCCACAGTGAATGATATGGGAACTGCATTTACCTGCCGATCAAAGTAATCAGAATACAAACGAAGATTATCCGCAGAAGAGTTAAAATATGAAATTGTACCACAATAGCTCGGCATAATTTAAAGGTCCAATGATCTGCTATTAGCGAACTTCCTAAATGGTAAGACGAAAATCTTTGCTAAACAAATCGCCTTATGATGTTATTAATGGATTATTGTCCTTCTCGAGTAACCAGTTGCACAAGGCTGTGACCAGGTAACTCGTCAGAATAGGGCATCTTACTCTGTGCTTACAATTTTTCATTGCTTTATTCGATGAAAGTTCGTCATTTCTCACAAGTAGGTTAGGAAACCTGTACTTGTAAGCGTTTTCGCTGAAAAAGTAGCGCTTGGAATTTCCCGATTCACATAAAAACAGAACAATGAATAACAGAAATGTTAAAATAGAACTTTCATTGTTAGTTCCACCATAACTGTGCGGCAGACGTTTTGAGAGAAATCATAAGTGAAGTATAAGAAGATGAAACGTCTAATTCAGCATCGACTGCAGTAAATCAAAAACCAATGGAGAAAAAAAGGTTCATTATGGTCCGGTGGACTAATTAACATTCCTATCTGCATGAAAGCGTATTACTGGAAGACCTAAAAGTAAGTTATCCTTAATTGCCTGCAATTCATTTTCCGTAGTTCGTTGGTGTCAGATGACAATATAGGACGTTAGTAAAACTGAAAACATCTATACGAACACGAGAGAACATTTCATTGCGCTGTTTAGCACAACAAGAATGAATAAAACAGCATATTTTCAGCACGACACCGAACTCTTGCTTCATCGCTTTATATCATCATATCCCTGTCGCCCCACAAAGTTGAATTCCCCCCTGACCCTCATTGTGATTCGATTGAATAAGTTTCCACGATTTGCGCAACTTGTGATTCCTCGACCTGACACGGGACTCTCACATCACCGGTTGGTAATATTTGTGATGCTCTTTTTGTTGCCTGGTGTTTGAAGATGGCACTCCACCTATGTACCGTCGAAACGCACTGGGCGAGCGCCCTGTCCCTTGTTACAGCTGTTACATCCAACAGATGGATAAATGAACCCGATCGATCGTGTGCGTCGGACCCGCACAGAAGAATGAATTACGATAACCATTCTGTTTAAGCGTTAGTATATAATTACCGCAGTAGATTATGTACTGTGATTTCATTCAGCCTAAAAGGTTCATCCGCAACTTAGTTGGCACTTTGCCTTTATCAATAAGGAAACGGGTCAAAATGGAAAAGAGCATTTTTATGAATGTTAATGCATCAACTGCAGTAAGGTACTTGAGGCTTACCCAGCTGGCGCGAGCTGCTCACCTCATGTCTTTAGAATGCTGAGACAACTTCGGCTGTACATAGATGGAGTGCCATCATCACACAGCTTGATAACAGGTGACGAAGGAGCATCACAAACATTACCAATCGGTGATCTGAGAGTCCCGTGTCAGGTTGAAGAATCACAGGTTGCACAAATTATGGGAACTTATTCAATCGAATCATGAAGAGAATCAGTGTGGAATTTACTTCTCTGAGAAAGACAAAGTAATGTAAAAGGACGAATCAGTCGCAGTGTAGACTACAGATATTTTGTTATATTGTGTTTTCTGCGATGCCTTCCGTCGATGCTATTTTTAATGATAATTTCATCAGGAATCTATGGGGGTAGATAACCATCAAAGTGAAACCAAATAAAAAGTCTTGGTCTCAGAGTTCAAACATATTACGGTAAAGATTCGTAAATCGCTGATCAGCAGAAAACGTGTTTTGAAGTTTTCGAATCAAACAGACCTAACAGGAGTCACTGAGGTAAAAGAATTTGTATTAGCAGGCACTATGGCACGTTGTTTTAATACGGTCTTCAATAAAGTTTTTGAAGATTATTTCTATTTCTAAATCTTCGGGTCTAATAGGAATTATGAGGTGCAGGGCTACCATGTTTTGTAGGTTTCGTACATCAACCGCATTTCAGTTCACTTAACATCGATCCAACAAACAGCGTCTCGGAACTCACCTAGACGCAGTGTATCAGTGAATGGGTAAGAAAGCGTTTTACGAAACATCAGTAAAATAAAATTAGGTATGTTTAGCACTTTCTGTTAAGAGGGTTCAAAATGAGTTGGAGGTTAAACTATCTATCAACGGACTGCACAATAAGGGTG